CCTTGCTAGTATCCAGGACATCCAATCAATCCTTCTCCAGGACATACAATCAATCCGTCAAGGGATACAACTGATCGGGTGATATACCTCCCAGCCACTACGTAGTATCAACTTGATACTGCGTGGCGCATTCAACACACGTCATCGTCCTCTACACGGACATTCCCATCTATCTATCTATCTATCTATCTATCTATCTATCTATCTATCTATCTATCTATATATCTATCTATCTATCTATCTATCTATCTATCTATCTATCTATCTATCTATCTATCTATCTATCCAGCACTTTCTCGATCGATCGACGAGAATATCGCACACGTCGTTGGCAAGTTTGTCGTTCCTGTCTTCGTAAGTGCAAGCCAACGACAATAATGATAAAGTGTTGTGTGCTCAACTTGAGGTGCGTTGGGGTCTGCTACGGAGACCTCTTGCCATACCTTCGTACCGTCGTCTGCTCATACGCTCTCCGATTCGCAACACAAACAACTCTTGCTTTCTCACGTCCACTCTTCTCTACTCGATGGGAAAGCACGGCATCATCTTGAGGTCCTTCATCGCGTCCATCGCCTTCATGGCCTTCAAAAACGGGACGTTGGCCGACCGCCAATCGTCGGTGACGAGCCCTTCCGTGTAGTGCCCGGGCTTGTCGGCGGGGTTGTACTGGTACGCCGACTCGGGGTTGAGCGACCACATGTAGCCGCCGGCGTAGTTTTCATTCAGCATCGTCTGGATCGTAAAGTCCGTGCAGCGCTGGGTTGTCTTCATCGGGTGCGCGTCCTTGGTGTAAAGGCCGCCAAACTCGCCGAGGACCACCGCGACGTCCTTCTTGTCGTTCAAATAGCCAAACATCTGGTGCATGGTCTGCGCGACTCGCCCCAAGAGCTTCTCGTCGCTGAGCTCGACGTAGCCGTTGATGGCGTTGCCTGCACCGACCTTGCCGCCGCCAAAGAGATAGTACTGCGGAAACACCGCCGGCGTGTAGTAGTGCGGCGCGTACACGAGCTTCTCGGGGGTCGGGAGGACGACGGGGAAGGCGCCAGCCTTCTGGAGCCCGCCGCCAAACCAGTCGTAGTATGCAAACGCTTGGCCGTCGAGCGTCACGTCGTTCTGCGCGTTGACGCCTTCGACAAAGACGAGCCACTTGGGGCAGCCCTTGAGGACACGGGCGCCAATGAGCTCGGCGCCGAGCTTGAAGTCGTTTTTAAGACCCGTGCCCCACGTGCCTTCCCACGGCTCGTTCTTGACGTCGACGCCAAGGACGTTCCAGTACGTGTCCGAGCAGAGCGCCTCGGTGAGCATGTCGATGGACTGGAGGAATTGGGCTTCGCTGACCGTTGAGCCATACCAGAGCGAGCCGCCATGGTTCATCAAGTCGAGCGTGTGCATGGAAAGCATGACCGAGATCTGGCGGTACCCGAGCGACTGGGTCACTGTCTGGAGCAGGCTCAGAAACGACGTCAGATCCAGTGCGCGGTTGGTGACGCGGTTAACGATCGATGCTTCGAGCGGCTTGTTGGCGAGGATGCTCGAGACGCAGAGGGGCACGCGCACCGAGTTGAACTTGTTGTTGGCGAGGAATTTGGCAACTTCGTACTAGACTCTTGTTGTGAGATCCAGGATCTGGCGATGCATGGAGTGCGTACCACCGTCGTGCCGTTCTGGTCGTTGTCCCAGAGCCCAAACGGCGCTTGCATGCCACTAGAAAACAAAGGTTCAACCCCGAAGGCCAGATTGGGCGTCTGGTACGTACGTTTCCATGCCAAACCAGTTGACGCCCTTGATCTGGAACGAGACTTCGGTGCCATTCTTGGCGACCGCGTAGAGCTTGCCGTTCTTGCTGACGTAGTTGGGCAGCTGGCACCCGCTCGGCGGGTACACCTCGGGGTTGTTGACTTGGCCATCGTCGGCGATGTCGGTCGAGCCCGAGCTCGAGCCGCTCGTCGTGCCGTCGGCAATCGAGCGCTCTTTGGCGAGGCGCTTCTGTACGTCGGTTGCCCGCGCTTGCGCCAAGCCCCGAAAGTGCTGGGCCAAGTACACGATGGCTGCAACCGAGCCGGCAATCATGACAAGCAAGAGCAGCACGCCGGGCCAACGCTACGCACATTGCCGACATTAGTAGAGGCTATAGATGACATAGAGCGTACGCGGATGCGGCCCTTGAAGGCCTTGGGCGGGATTGGCACCGCGTGGTCGACGGGCGCGGCCACGATATCGCGGTCGAGGATCGAGCTGCGCGTGAAGCCATCGATGCCAGCCGACGAGGCGCCACGCTGGCTGTACGAGAAGCTGCTGCGGTGCTCGTCGGTCTCGCTCATGCGATCGTAGCCGTCGCTGGCCATGGTCCGGTCGCTCGTCGAATGGAGAAGTGCTACACGGTCGACCTTGCAGTCGCTGTAACCGTCGCACGGTATCCGGATCGTATTCCCTTAGATGAGACTTGCGACGCGGGATTTGCGTCGTGGAACGTAACGGGTTGTTCGACGAGGTACTGTTTAGGAGAATGACCGTGCGCTTCGAAAGGAGCGGCTCGCTCGCCAGCCTTTTTCGTAGCTCGTAGCGGCCAGCGTAGGAACGCAGCAATATTGTCTATTGACTCTACTTGAGCGAAGTTTCTTGTGCCGAAATCGAGGGCTAACCCTTCCGGATGCCGTTTTGGCGCGTCTTTCTTGGAACGCTGCGCCGAGATGCGCATCTCGAAAGCAGATTCCTATAAGTGTATTGATGCTCTGCTAATGGGCGCAGAAAATTGACATTGTTTGCTGCATCACGAGCACGGGTGAAGAACGCTGGTCGCGAGATGATGGACCAGTTTCTGGCACAATTCGGTACACGATCCGCAGCAGATTCCGCGGCCGAGAAGCCATCACGGAATTTTTTGCGCACTGTTCCCTTGGTTGGCGTCAACAGCGTACAGGACACCCGGGATAGTCGGGTGCATCCGAATGGAAGACTTTTTGTGCTCGTTTTTGTCCACGTATATTCTCCGCATGCCACATCTCGTATGTCATTTGGTGGGCTTGCAGACCGACTGAGACGAGCTCCGATTGAGGCAATCCCACGATGGTCCATGACGCGTCGCGATCTCTGAAGATGGACCACGTCGTTGGATTGTGAAATCGGTATACTGACGAAACAAGCATTTCAGTGACTCGACCAGCAACATGGTTCTCCATGGTCGAGCGGTTCATTACTTGGGCTACGTGGAGTCGATTCCATCGAATCTACCCAAGATAACATTGCATTACATAGCTGACACTCACGACGTCGCGAAGCACGGTATTATCTGGGGGTCAGGAAATGCGCCCATTGCCGCCATCGCATTCAAAAAGGGCACGTTCGTCGTTTAAAAGGCCTTCGATGGCTCTGACGTTGACGAGCACATGGCACACATCAGCAGGCAGATGCGACTCGAGGTATAATAGTCGCACGCATGACTGCTAGCACACGGTTCTCATCTTCCGAGTCGAGGAGAAGAGGCTTGCCAATGTACAGTATATTGCCACCAACGACGGGCAGCGCCACGCAATCCCACGTGAATTCGTAGCTCTTGTTAACCTGTTTGTCTAGCAACTTTGATGCACCGAACCAGGTGCGTTCTTCTGTCTCTGAACAAATGTTGTCTATCCACAGTGTATCGTTAGGATGAGTTTTCGGCACTAATGCTTGTCGTCGAGGCCAACCACGTACAGTACTGGTGCTGACGTCCACAGCCCCGCTTGAGGGATTTTCGCCTCGAATGTTTCAATCTTTCAAGAGGTCGATCGCTCGTGTAGGAGCTCACACCACTGGTTCACTCTGCCATTGCCTTGTTTCGCGGCGAGACGTCTGTGTTGGACCTCGTGCTGACTGCGATATCGACGCGACCGACGTGGTAGATGACGTAAATGCTCGCATACAATGATAGCTGTTTGCTTCTGTGTGGTACTTGAGGTGATTGGCGTCGGCGGACAAGCGCTGCCGATGGCCACACGTCGGCTTGCGTTCGGTTGCTGTGATGGCAGTTGGCGCATTTTGGTGTTTGGTAAAGTGGCTTGGCCACGAGCACGAGCTTCATTAGTCTCTTCTTGCCGTCAATGACGTCGACGGAAGCGACGAGCTCACGGAATCTGCCTGCTGTTGCCTTGAGGGCCTCTAGGCCTCAAGTTGAGGCCTTGGTAGTGACATTCGGACGCCTAGGAGCTGCAGTAGCCTTGCCGCCCATCGAGTGTGGGTCACTACTACGTTGAAAGCCTTGCAAATGACAATCGAGGAGACCTGTTGGTGGCGCGCCTCGCCGTCCTCGTGGCTGCTTGTACGCCATCGTTTCGTGTTGCGTCGGCGAAGATGAACACACTACATGGTACGTACGCCGACTGCGATCTTGTACCTCCTGCGATTCCATTGCACAGGAAGAAGAAGACGAAGAACGAGCGAGCGTCGCCCGCCTGTGCACCGGGGCGCCGAGCAGTCGTCGTGACGTGGCGTTGTCCAGGGATTGTGCAATCGTTGCTGTATTTTGGCCAATCACAATCGACAGGCGGCAATTATGGCATGTGATTGGATGGGGCAAACCATTTGATCATTTTCATTTCGGACGTCAACGCGCGAGAGGAGCATGGGCGCCAAGGAGGTAGTAAATGAGAAGAAGAAGGAAGCGATCGACTGCGTCTGTGACTGCATAGGTGGAGCTCTTTGATGCAGCAGCTAATGGTCGACTGGCCGATGTGAAGCGGCTCGTGGAAGAAGAAGGCGTAAATCCCAACAGCAAATTCGGCGTACGTCGTCTTCGATCGATTGGATATGTATTCTGGTAACAATAATATGAGTCGTAGGAAGCCTTGTGCCGAGCTGCTTGGAAAGGCCACATCAACGTCGCCATCTACTTGTTGAAGAAGAACGTGTCGACGCAAGGTTCGCACGTACGTCGATCGAGCCGATTTTTCTCGTTTCGTCTATTTGGAAGTGAAATTTCACGATTCGTAGATGTGGGGTACACCTCTGATTTTCGCTGCGAAATGCAATTTTGTCGAAATTGTGCGTCTCCTCTTGGACGCCAACGCTGACCTCGAGGGCAAAGACCGCGTACTTTGTTTCTACAAAATCCTCAAATATCGTTTTTCTAAACACCAAAGGAATTAGGACAACAAGACAGCGCTCGACTACGCGATTCAACAGAAATTCACGGACATTGCGCAGCTCTTGCGCGACCATCCTCAACGCAGAATCACCAAAACCAAGGTACACACCCATTCATCTTTCATCAACATATTCGTCCAATGGAATGTATATTCCTTTAGATTCTAACAGCACTGCTTGAACGACGCTTCTCGGACGCCACGAGCCTTTTGTCGGACCCTTCCATGGACGTCAACCTTTGCAATGACGTACTACCATTTCTCCCATCCATGTAACTACAAGTGACTGCGTGCAGGACCGCGTCCCTCTGCTGCTTCTTGTGACGGAAACCGGTGACTTAAAGATGCTCCGATCCCTCCTGTCGAAACCCAACCTCGATGTGAACGCTACCGACAAGGTACTACACATATTGAAAAGTACTCGAGTCTCACGCACTATTGTAGGACGGACGAACGGCGCTGGCTCGTGCGATTGTCAAGAACGACATCGCAGCGGTCTTTGCTCTCTTGAAAGCCAACGCCAGTCTTGGCCAGCTCAACGAGGTATGGCGATGATTACGCATACATCGTCCGATACATTGATATTAGGCGCAACTGCGCGCCCTCATCGAAGCTGATCTCTCTGGCAGTGCACTGCTTCAAGCCGCCTCGACCAACAACGTTAGCGGCGTCGAGCGGTGGCTTCTCGCTGGTGTCCGTCCTACAACCACCAACGACGTGCGACGATTCCTCTTTTTATGCCTACATCCAATCTACATTTTTGTCGATAGGACGGAGCCACCGCGCTGCACTTGGCCGCAGCCAACGGCTACGAGGCCATCGCCACGCTACTGCTGGCCAAGACCGCGTCGCTCTCGCTCCAAAGTGACCACGTATTCCATACCTCCATAGTCTACCAACCTTTCATATTCCGATCTATCTAGCGAGGCAATCTACCGCTGCACCTTGCGGCCGCCAACGGTCACTTGACCATCGTCGATCGGTTGCTCAAGGACTCGACCCACAGCGGTCTCGACTGCACCAACAACGTACGCATCTCTCTCCTTCCAAACAACCTGTAAATGTATCAACTTGATATAGAACGGCGAGGTGCCCCTTTTCGTGGCGGCCAACGCGGGTCACGCCAACGTCGTTGCGCGCTTGCTCAACTCTGGAGCATCGCTCGACTACACCATCGAAGTATTCTCACTTCTTATTCTAAGAACAGTCGTACATTTACTGTTTGTAGGGTGGATGGACGCTGCTGCATGTGGCTGCGGCGAACGGCAACCTCGACGTGATCCGGATCCTCCTCTTAACCGAGCTCAACATTTTTGCCAAAACGACGGTATTTCCAACGTCAACGATCAATAGCTTGGGAAATGACGCGCTTGCGTCATTGGCCTAGGCAGGCGAGACGCCACTCAAGATTGCAATCGACAAGAAGCACGCAGATGATGTCCTCCAAGCTTTGAGAGACGCGGAGGCCGCTGCGAACCAGCGCTTCTTGGACGCGGTGTCGAGTGGTTACGTCGAGCTCGTCGACGCGACGCGATTTTTAGGAGCAAGACGGGTGGACCCTCCTGGCACTGGCGATCCGGCAAGCCAACGACGCTGTCGCACAAGTGCTCTATCCTTATCTGTACCCATATCCAGCAATGGTACAATATCGACATGTATTGTCTATCACATGAATCCCATGTGGTAGGCAACGGCCGACGAGCTCGTCCTCGAGCGGGAAATCTTTGGTGGTCCCGCCGTCACCGTCAATAAGGCCACGTACGGCGGCAAGATCGTGGTCACAAAAAGTCCCAAGCTGCCGGTGCCGCGTGTTGCGAAATGTTTTATGCAAGAAATCGACACGATGCGCACGTGCGAGCTGACGCGACGACGACCGATATGACCATATTCTGTCTAGGCACACGTCGCCATACCTCCAGCCGCTGCTTGCAGTCCTCGACAATGGCTCACGACAGCCGCACGTCGTCCTGCCCCAGGTCCACCTCTACAGCCCGACGATGGTCATGGAGTACATGGAGCTCGGGGACTTGCACAACTATCTCCAGCGCAAGCAATGTGGCATGCCGGTGGCGATGGAGCTCTCGACGATCGAGGTCGCGCTGGTGCTGGCGTTGGCGCTCGCCGACCTCCACCGTCGCAACGTGATTCACCGCGACGTCAAGAGTTTCAACATCTTTCTCTCGAGAACCCACTACGTCCGGCTCGGTGACCTTGGCTCGGCGCGCGCCCATGACCCAACTCAAGTGATGACATCGAACGCTGGCACAACAAACTGGATTGCGCCCGAGGTGCTGCGGGTGCCTGGGCGCGAAGGCCAAGGACGCATGTACACGACGGCCGCCGACATTTACTCGTTTGGCGTCGTCTTGACCGAGCTCGAAACCGGCGAATTGCCGTACCACGATGTTGTCGATTCCGAGCGCAGTTCGATCCTCACCAAGGTCCTCGCGGGGCAGCTGCACCCGAAAATGAGTGCGACGTGCCCACTCTGGCTCCAGACGCTTGCGAACCAGTGCATGGCGTTTGATCCGACAAAGCGTCCGACCGCCGATGCCATTGTGCAAGAGCTCTTGCTCCACCGCCACGACGACGCGCCGGCCCGCACCGATGGCGTTTTGGCCCCCAGCCCTAATACGAGCGCGGTAGACACGTCTCCATTCTATCAAGTGCGTCTCATGCGTCCATGTCTAGGCTGCCTAAGTGTTGATCTCTGCGACGACACATGGCTCGATTGTACTACATTTGTTTGTTTTTTGAAGAAATGAAAAGAGTCCATCTGCGATTGTACTGTCCGTGCAACAGTGGTTGCAGTGAGAGAGAACGACACGACAAGGCGCAGGTAGCTGTCCAACCATCGCAGTCGTCAAAATGAATGCACTGGTCGGCTGGCTCCTGTATCGGCGGTCCATGATGAAGGCTCTGGTACGCCCGAAGAAAGTCCAAGACAGAAAAGCAATGGAATGAAACCCACCGACCGTGCGCTAGCATCCTTCGCTCCCTTGCACGCGGGCTAGGTGTCTTCGATCGGGCTAGGGTATTCAGCTTCACGCAGGATAGGGTTCCAGCAGCCTCGTGGATTCCACCAAGTGCATACCATATAAGCGTTAACGGCCTGTACGAGTGCTATCGATGGCGCTGTGACTCATCGCGAGTCTGGGATGCCGTTTCCACGCAACCTACTCTTCCATCCCTTTTTTGAATTGATATCTGCAACGATCTAACCTGGTTGGATACCTCGATCCAAGTGGATAGCCCACTTATAATCCAATTCAACTCCAAAACGCAGGTACTATTGTCTGTGCACTTTAAGATGCAATTCCTCTTGACGCGAGTGGTCAGGTACGAAAGCACGGCATCATCTTGAGGTGCGGCATCGCATCCAAGGGCTTCATGGCTTTCAAAAATGGCGCGTTCACCGAGCGCCAATCCAGATTCAAGAGACCTTCCACATAGTTGCCCGGCGTATCGGCCGGGTTGTACTGGTACGCCGACTCGGGGTTGAGCGACCACATGTAGCCCCCGGCATAACTCTCGCTCAAAATCGCCCTGATCGTAAAGTCCGTGCAGCGCTGCGTCGTCTTCATCGGGTGTTCATCTTTGGTGTAGAGACCCGCAAACTCGCCAAGCACGACCGCCGCATCTTGCTTGGCGTTCAAATAGCCAAACATGTCGTACATGGTATTGGCCACACGCCCCAAGAGCTTCTCGTCGTCGAGCTCGACGTAGCCGTTGATGGCGTTGCCCTTCCCGACCTTGCCGCCGCCAAAGAGATAGTACTGCGGAAACACCGCCGGCGTGTAGTAGTGCGGGGCGTACACGAGCTTCTCGGGGGTTGGGAGGACGACGGGAAAGGCGCCGGCCTTGTGGAGCCCGCCGCCAAACCAATCGTAGTAGCCGTACTCTTGGCCATCGAGGACGATCGTATGCTGGGCGTTGACGCCTTCGACAAAGACGAGCCATTTCGGACAGCCCTTGAGGATGCGCGCGCCAATGAGCTCGGCGGCCGCGCGGAAATCGTTTTAAGGCCGGTGCCCCACGTGCCTTCCCACGGCTCGTTCTTGACGTCAATGCCAAGGACGTTCCAGTACGTGTCCGAGCAGAGCGCGACTGTGAGCATGTCGATGGCCTTGAGAAAGTCGTCGGTTGACAGCGTCTTGCCGTACCAGAGCGAGCCTTCGCGGTTGTAAATGTCGAGCGTGTGCATCGAGATCATGACCGAGATCTGGCGATACCCGAGCGACTGGGTCACCGTCTGAAGCAACCCAAGATACGACGTCAGATCCAGTGCGCGGTTGGTGACGCGGTTGATGATCGACACTTCGGGCGCCTTGTTCCCGAGGATGCTCGAGACGCAGAGCGGCATGCGCACCGAATTGAACTTGTTGTTGGCGAGGAATTGGGCGACTGCGTACTAGCATCCGGTGGTGAGAGCCAGGATCTGGACATGAGTGTGGTGCGTACCACCGTCGTGCCGTTCTGGTCGTTGTCCCAGAGCCCGAACGGCGCTCGCATGCCCCTAGACGAGAGGCCTCAGCATTCAGAGTGCCAATTTGCCAGATTGCCAATTTTTCAGACTCTGGTACGTACGTTTCCATGCCAAACCAGTTGACGCCCTTGATCTGGATTGGAACTTCGGTGCCGTTTGTGGCGACCGCGTAGATCTTGCCATTCTTGCTGACGTAGTTGGGCAGCTGGCACCCGCTCGGCGGGTACACCTCGGGGTTGTTGACTTGGCCATCGTCGGCGACGTCGACGTCGTCGACGTTGGAGCCACTCGTCGTGCCATCGGCTATCGCGCGCTCCAGCGCCAGTCGCTTCTGCACGTCGAATGCGCGTGTGCGCGCCGCCTCGCGCGATGCCGCCGCACCGTACGTGATGGCCGCCACGCTTGCGCCCACAATGACAGCGAGCAGCACGACACCAGGCCAGCGCTAGCATCGCATGTCACATGTCCAGACATGTAGCATGGCACCTACCCGAAGGCGGCCGCCGTAGCGTGTGCCCCACGACCGGCCGGTGTCGACTGGCGTTGCTTTGATGTCGCGCTGCAAGATCGAGCCGCGCGAGAACGCGGCTGAATTGGCCGTGAACGACGAGGCGCGCTCGCTGTAGGCAAAGCTGCCAGAGCGAAGCGCTTGGTCGTCGGCGCCATCGTTGTTGTCGTTGTACCAGCCGTCGCTGGGACCCATGTTAGGCTCCATCGTGTCGCGTTCAAATAATGGAATGGTGAACGATGGAATGGGCCGATGAGAATCTTACGTTGTCGCTGCTGGCTACTCGGCCGAGATACGAGTCCCACCCTCTACACTCTTCTGTTGCCCTTCAGTCAACAAACCTTGGTGCATACATCGGCATCGCGTGCGCATTCGCTCCGAAATCCAAGGCGCGACAGAGCGCTAAGAAACCGCGACCATGACGTGGCGTCCTGTACGAGCAGAAAACTGAAGCGCGTCATAAAAAGGACATCTCCGTTTTTGGCGATGGCCGCGATTGGCTGGCTACTCGCACGGCAATTCACCAATCGGCAAATGCACTTGTTGAAGTGGTGCAGAGGTTGATTGTTGCATGGGTTGTTGGCAGGATTGCAGCGACCTCGATTCCGCATCGGGCGTGTCCCACGGACCGGATCAGAGGCTGGTCCGAGAAGGTCGCCGCTTCGCTCGCAAGATCGCATCTGCTACCAGCCCACGTCGGAATCTGATCTCGATCCGTGCGATCCACCCAGAAGAAGAAAACACTTTTTCTGCCGCCACTGGATCGTGCCACCAGATTTTTGCACGAGCAACAGCGTGCTGCCCACGAATTTAATCAACCGTGTGTCGTCGTCCTGCCGTGGTCCGGTCGTCGCCCATGGAGACGTCGTCCTAAACGGAATAACTCATTTCAACCTCAATAGTCGGTCCTAAATATACGATTATGAAAAAGGCGGCGAAACCGGTGGTTGAAAACGGTGCTGCGCGCCAGAACCAGCGCGCGATGCTAGTCCCCGCCGGCCTCGAGGGCCAGCGGTCGTTGAACAGCGCGGTCTTGCTGCGCATTATCGAGCCGCCAGTGCCAACTACAACACATGGCGTACACAATGACTAGCTGGTTTTGGCTGAGACTTGGTCATAGACGGCGCAGCGGGAGGCGTCCTTGGCAAGGTACGAGATAGTGTGCTCAGTTGACCTTATTATTGTCCCTAGCTGCCATGCTATCCCCGTCAACGAGACTACCGAGGCAGCAGCGCGGCGTCTTCAAGGTTGGTACCGCCGCGTTCGAACATCGACACACATCAAGACGACTGCGGTTGAGCGCTGCGTCCTGCAAGACCGCACGCATGACCATGACATGGCTAGGTGCACTTGATGACGCTCATGCACCATCTCGACCGGGATCTGCTCCTCTTTTGGAAGCTGCTCCACGAAGGCATTCGCGTGTGCAAGTACAATGCCAAGCGACAGGCGAAAAAATGGAAGGTCATCTCGCTCGACAAAGGTCATACGGGCTTGTGGCGCTGCCACGTGGAAAATGGTGTGCTTTTAGACGGCGAGCGCCTCATCATGCGCCCGCTGCACCGCACGAGCATGCGCTTCCTCGCCAAGTCCATTTCGTTTGGTCGCCGGCGTGGCGTCACGGCCAAGGCGGAAAAGGGACTGTACCTTCGCGACATTGCCGAAGTTCGCGTCGGCGCGCAGTCGGCGGGCTTTGCGCGCTCGACGCTCGAGCCAGATCCTGACCAGGTAACCGCCTTGACATACCTTGATCTAGAATCACGCAACTTGAAGTGCTTCTCGATCGTCGGCTCGGAAGCCACATGGGACCTCGAGCTCACAACGACTGCTGCTCGGGACCAAGCGGTTGTGCGATTGCGTGTTGTCTTGGACGTTCTCCAAGACAGCACGTCTCTCGTACGGTCCATGCCGATGTAGAGCGTCTTTTGAATGGTTTTCTGCTAGCTCGCAAGTCGCGAGTGGACGACGCCCCACCACAAAGATGTGGTGTCTCCAGCGACCGCCGCACACGTGTACAGTGTCTTGGCTACCGGGTACCAATTTACGTACCTCGTGTTTTTGGCGTATATTCTTACAACTGCGCTAGCGTCGAAGTGACTCGGTTTGCCGCGTACTTGACGCCTGCGCGCAGCTACCTCTGGATCAACCCGAGTACCATTCGCCTTTGCATTGGCGACAACAAACGTACAGTGCATCGTATAATTGCTGCTGCGTCATGGCGGCGCGTCACTAGACCGTGTCTTCAAGAGCGTGCTTCTCAGCGACGTGGCCGAGGTCCGGAAAGGCGTCAACAGCATCGGCTTCTTCAATCTGTCGCCGCCGCCGCCGGCGTCCGAGGTCGATCGCACATCGACGCACGCCGCGTCATTCTCGACATGCACTAGTGCTGCTCGATCATTGGCTCGGAAAACGTCCTCGAATGCCGCGTCAGCGACGAGACGGCGCGCAACGCGCTCATTTTCGCCCTCCGCGATCTCTTGCATTTCAAGCGAAGCCATCCGACTGTCAACGTGACGCCAATGACGGTACAGGCATGTATTATACAAATTCACTCGACATTTACGTTCAATCGACTCGACTACTAGATGGAGGCGACACCTTACCGCGCGACCGCCATGGTCGCGGCACTGCGTCATGGACCGTAAGACCTTAATGCCCCTTTTGCTCGAGACCGAAGAAGAGGTCCACCCGCTTGGACCACGCATTCGGCTTTGGCTTCTTCGCATCCAAGTCGAGCTTCAAGTGGAGTTTGCGCAGAATCTGGCCGTTCCCACAGAGATCCTACATACCATATATCAGACAATGCTGTACACCTTGATCGCATGTCGCACAATGAGGTCGGTGAGATGCTCGGGCGCGCGGCGGAGCGTGGCGAGAAGCTTGGCCTTGCCTTGGTCCGCGAGCTGCGCGACGATGGACGTGTCGCAGGCCTGCGCGGCGACGCCGGTCGTCGAGACCCACTCGCAGTAGAGCTCGTCAAACATGAGGAGGCAGAAGGCAAACAGCTGGAAGAAGCTCGCGTCGGCATCCAGGAGCTGCCAATACAGTGTTTCTTGCACTGGAAAATTGCCCTAGTGGACAGTTTATTGTGGGAACGAGAATTCTATTTGACGTAGGGAAGACCTTGGAGCCGTCCATGGCCACGACATGGAGGATCTCCATGAGCACGCGGACGACGGCGACCGCGGCCTTGGCCAACGGATACCTAAGCAGACGCAAGTGAGTCGATTGCATCTTGCAATCGCCAAGACGACAACGTACCCAAGATGGCGGTTGAGCATCCGCGCTTCGCCGGGGTAGTTCTCGACAAAGAAGACTAGACATGCGAGGATGAGTCGAGGCAGGAACGAGCAGGTTGCACCTAGGCACTCGAGGCCGAGTTCGCCGCCGGCGCGAATGTCATCCCCAGGGTTGCAGCTCGTAAAACCGATCGTTTGCCAGTCGGCGCTGTTGCGCTGGAACGGCAGCGCATTGTTGCGCATGAGGTTGCCATGCATGCTGTCCCAGTACCGGCCAAGCAGGCCAAGATGCTATGCATGGCCATGAGCCGCCCGATGCTACATCAGCAGAGATGGGTACGTAGGGACACTCGACGAGGCGCGTCGTGAAGCGCTTCTGGAGCGAGAAGAGGAGGAGGAGCTCGTGGTCGTCGGGCCGGCGACCGGCCTCGGCGGCGTCGCGCGCGGGGTTGTAGCTGCCTTGCTGGTTGCCCATGGCCTTGGTTTCGAAGATACGGCCTTTTTAAGATCCAACGCAACGAATAGTGTCAACTCGTCCTGGCCGCGCACGTCAATAGTGTTACCTCATAAGATTTGCTATTTATTAGAAAGCGACCGTCCGCCAAGCGGCAAGGCGATGAGATCGGTGCCGAAACCACAATGTGTATGACGATGCAGCGTCATCTCTACCAACCACGCCACCAGCCGCCTTGCGTGTTCGCCGTGAACCGTCGTGGTAGCCCCTGCCCTATTGCCGCCGCCGGAACCGCTGGATCCAGGTTGAAATGGCTCTGTCCTTGCTTGCTGTTAAGCCTGTGGGCTTCGTAGCGAGTGGCTTTGTCGAGACAACCATACGAGGTAGCTAAAGAGTAGTCAGAGCATCTGCATCACTGTGACGCGGCAGAGTCTCTTCCGGAGACAACCCTATCGACACCAGCTATCTCTTCTTCGTCTTCAAGCGAGCGAGAACTCTGATCTCGCATGGCGCCGCACGCAATCAAATCACGTGTTGATATTGTAGGTCCAGAGGACGACACCTGCGCGGCCGCTTTCTATAGCGCAGAGGGTGATCGATGTCCCTATCAGTAGCACAGGATCCAATCTACAATCTACAAAGTGATGCAAGCAACCTGCAATGTGTTCGCGACGGTCTTCCACCTGCCATCGCCACCTCCATCGCCCAGTACCGTGTCGAGCGGCCGTCATCCTTGGGTGAAAAGCGTATCTTTATCCGGAACGCCCCGTGTATCCGGATGACCGCACGGTACGCCGTCGAAAACTGCCTTTGCAAGGAACGTCGTGCCACATGCGTCGAAGGACGATAAGGTCTACTAGTATTGTATACGAACTTGTATGTCGTAGTGAGGTGCGTTGGCGGTTGAATCCGATCGTGCAGCTCGGGTTGTTGAACAGCCTAATTTTTCAAGAACGGGCGCGGCGAGCGGGCGGCTACTCGACCAAATGTAGGTCCGCGACCGAGATCATGACGATCCGATGCGGCCGAGATGCGGATCAGGAGGATCGACCTTTTGTTTGGTCGAATTTTTCTGGCGCCAACCGACAGCGCCGTTGGACAAGGCGAGCACGAGATTTCGGCCCGTCATCGATGCATGTTCTCACCGGCGACAGCAGCCTACAACGCATGGAACGCAGAGAGCACGTCGTCGATTCGATTTGAACTTTGTAGACAAACAAACGCGCACGTGGTGTTCGTTTGGGTGTGGATGTTGCGATGTTTAAGTACCGGGTCCATGGACGGTCCCCACCCCTCCGGATATTCCACAGTATCGTAAATGCAAGTGAAAACGATCGAATGGAATCTCCATCCGAATCGAGAGGACCCGGGTGGGGTTGAATAAGCACGACCGCGGACAGGGCCGTTTCAGGGATCGTGCCACGTCCATTTTCGCATTTCGCAATCTTCGCCCATGAAAGACCTTGCGACGCCGAGCTTCTGGCGGCGCCTCGGGCGCTCCTTCCGCCACGAGGTCGATGAGGACGATGGCCATGGCCGGCGCTCGAGCCTCTTCCGCCGGGATCCCGCGCGTCGTAGCTTCCGCGGTCTCTTCAAGCGCAAGGACATCGAGTACGATGCAACGATCGATGGCGCAACCCACTCGACGCGCAAGTCGCTCCTCGAGCGCTGGCTGCGCGAAGACGACCCGTGGCGGCGCGAGTCGACGTGCCGCTTGTCGCCGGTCGAGCTGGAAAAGCCGGCGTGGATATCGCGCTGCAGCGCGGTCCAGGTCGTCATGTGCAGCGAGCAACCAGTCATGGACGGCGACGACGACGACAACGATGATGCGACGACACAGGCCTCGGACGAGTCGCCCGTCACGTCGCCCAAGCAAGCTGCGCGATCCAATAGCGCCGTGCTCTTCAAGCCCACGTCGTACTCATATTCCTACGCGTTCTCGCAATCTGCAGCCGCACGCAGCAGCGAGTACGCAGCACCATTGCGCCTCACATCGGTGCCGGTGGCGATCCCGCTCATCTTTCGGAAGCGGGACCGCTTCTACGTCGGCGGGAAAAACATCCCGTTCACGCGCCAAAACCATCTGGACCGTCGCCAAAAGCACATGCGCAAGGCCATGGACGTCGTGTACGAAGACTGCTTGTACCTCGACTTTGCCCTCGACCCGACCGTGAAGAACCTCGTCGACTACTCACGCCTCCTCCAGCATCAGCGGGCGCTGGCCCAGGCGTTCCTCCACGCCTCTTAAGTTATTCCGTCGCTTGATCGCAGCACGTTGTGGCATGTGCCAATCCCAAGTCGTGTTTTCATTATACTGTCGTTTGATTGGCGCAAATCGTGCATGGACTCGATACGATTGGTGGATCGTCGCGCGTACGTGGCACGCCGAGCGGCGTGTATGGGTGCTGCGATCTCCGAGGTCAAACGTTGCGATGCACCAATCGATAGAAGGCGCATCTCGCCAGGGACCAGTAAAGCATCCAAAGAGGAAGCTACAAACGTGCACGGCAAGGCGATACCATCGAGCTTTCTACTGCTACTCGCTCGGCGCGCGATCGAGGCAAGCTTCGAATCCAGTCGACGAACGCATGCGGCGATTGTTGTCTTCATTTCAACTACCATCATTTGATTGGTATGAAATGAACTCTGCGGATCAATCGAGCGAATTGCGCTTACCGTCGCTCCCGCCGTCCACTGCTCGACTTGACTGCACGTCGTCTGGATGTCGTCGGTGTCGTAGTGACCCAAGCAGCCACACCATTGGCGCGACTTTGCCAAAGAGGTTAGTCGATCTCAGTCGTAATCTATCAAAACTCTCGCTCCTCGATACGTTGTAGCTGCGACAACCTCGTTCAACACAAGGGTCGCAACTGCCCAGAGGTTAGCATCTCGCCGTAGACGAAGCTGATGCCATCTGTGATGGGCACTTTACATATCATTTCGGCGCGGATGTGCGGCATGCGACCGAGGGACGGATGCTCTAAGAAATGCACCAAGCTTCAGCGAAATGCCGAGTAAAGTCGCGATCAATGGAGCAACCACTTTCCAAGCGCACGAAGATACACTTGGATCCAACGCGATGTCTGTTGAGAGTTTGTAGAAGGGCACCCATACCAACAACCCCTGTGGGAACGGTCGACGTGGACTGATTGCGCTACGACGCTGTCTCGCGTCGCTTCTCGCTTCTGATCGGCATTGCACGCTAGTATCAAAGTGTCAAGTCAGTAGTATCTGGTATCTGGAATCGATATATCTGGTTTGTATACACCACGCTACTCATGTAGTGTACTCGAATCGTTTTGGACGAGCTGAAGTACTCGGTTTTACGAGTTACTAAACAAACGTCGCGCACATGGCTTTGCACTTTTCATAAATGGCAATCGTAATGCCCGTGAGGGGGGCCTGAAACGCGACCCGGGCCGCCGCCCCTTTCCACAGCGCCGTGGGTCCTTCTTGCCTAATCGGCCAGTGCCAACACATGAGTGCATACCGAGATGTGACCATCTTTTGCCCACGTTATGATGCGCCGGAGTCCATCCCACGTGTTTTTGTACTGGCTCGGTGCACCGGACGACGCCGCCTGGAATCGCTCGACCTACATGTGCGTCTGTATTTCCATCACCAAAATGGTATCCGAAAATCGACCTGAAGCCGCAGCTTGACCAAGTCCAGTGGGTTGGTCAAAAACGCAGCGGCCGCACTCGCCGAGACCGAGCAGAGAAGCAGCGACGAGAACGGGACATCGCTCGAGCCATGCCAGCGCGCCGCCGTCGACTTGTTCTAGCAGACGCCGTCATTGTACCCGCCATCGAGCATGCACGATCCGCGTACTTGCTCGTAGGCCACGAAAAAGAGAGCCGAGTACGGGCCAAACGACCACATGGTCGCGCCATACCCTACTCCCTTGCTTCATGAGAAAAGGAATCGAATCGAAGCGCAGAGGAGGACCTTTGTACATGCCACGGAGGCCTTCGGTGCGCGCGATCGTCTGCAGCGCATGCCATGTGTTCTTGTACCCGTTGGCTTGATGCAGCGTCTGCACTTGCATGCGTTCCTTGATGACATCGATGGGCACCCAGAAGACGCAGCTAAACGCCTCTGCAAGAATGCCGGCCGAGAAGGACGTGAGGAATGGCGCGTCTTGGAAGTGCGGCGACTGCGTGAGCCACTTTTTGCTTTCCTACTCCCTTGACATGAGCCGTCCGAGAGGCGCAGAAGAGGCGGCGAGCGATGTTGCACCTCGTACGACGTCATGTACAGGCACGTGGCCGGCGCTGAGCCGAGGACAACGACGCCAAAGCCCTTGTAGAGGCCGCGCACGCCTTCGGCTCTAATAGCATAGCTTCATGGCCACAAGCGATGGACGAGCCTTTTCGTGCGTACCTCATCGTTTGCGTCAGAACATGCCATGCATTGCGGTACGTGTTGTGCGCCTGGAGGTTGGCCTTGGCCATGTCCATGGGGTGGCAGACAATGCGCCCGAGGATGCCGGCCATCGCACTGCCCTAGGGTCAAGGCCATGAGCGACAGAGCTAATACGAAGGAGGTAGCAGGTACAAGCATCGTCGCTGCCATGGACGCGGGCTGCGCGTCGTCGCCTGCCATCGCTCCCATTTCGGGCCAGATCCAAACACTGCACGCCGCACGCCAGATCTGCGCACGCGTTTTATAGTTTAAACACACTTTAACGTTGATGGCCCACCGACGTCCACCAATCCGAAAGCAGCATTTCGTGGCAAGCCGACCACTGGGAGCTGTAGCGAGCTGCTTGAGCGATCGCTGCATTCTGGCTCATGCCCCGAACTGGCGCGCAGTGATGATCCGCTTCCTCTACGACTGTCCTGCTTTAGTAGTCTAGGTAGTCGACTATCTATGCTCTAATGGCAGCGAATGCGATCACGACGTCAAGCTTTTGATTTTAGCAACCGTGTATTGCTAGCCGTGTACGCCTTGGCTCTGTCTGCCTTGCACTTGGCTCGCCAGTTGCAATGCCACTGCAGTAAAAGTAGCGGGGTTATGGTAGCGTGCGAGGTTGCCAAGCCTCTTCGTGACGACTCCTGGCTTCGCGCCACAACGCACCATAAAACCCACGTTTAACGTGACGTTTAAACAGCTCATAGGATGTATACGGATACTCTGCCATGCACTTGCGGTCCCGCTTGGAGGAGCAAGTAGCATGATCTACCTCGACTACAACGCGACGACGCCCGTCGACAAGGTAGCCATCCTTGCCGCTGCATGGTAGTATGGCTCATGCAACATGTTCGTAGCGTGTCATTTCGGCGCTGACGCAGTGCTTGGAAGAGACGTACGGCAACCCGTCGTCGACGCACCAGCTCGGGCAGGCGGCCAAGGCGGCGCTATGCACCGCCCGCGCACAGGTCGCCGCGCTCCTTGGCTGCCCATCGGACGCGATTCTCTTTGTCTCGGGCGGCACCGAGTCGATCAACTACGTGCTCAAGGGCATGCTGGCGTCGCACAAGGCGCAGCGCCATATCATCACGTCGGCCGTCGAGCACGTGGCCGTCAGCGCGACGTGCAAGTACCTCGCCGAGACGCATGGCTTTGAGATTACGACGCTCCCAGTTGACGCGCTTGGCCGCGTGGCTGTCGACGACGTCATTGCGGCCGTGCGGCCCACGACGTGCTTGATCTCGATCATGCATGCCAACAACGAGGTCGGGACCATCCAGCCGATTGGCGCCATCGCGGCCGCCGCCCGCGCCCACCACGCCGCGCTCTTGGTCGACGACACGCGCGGCTTGAGCCCGCTGCTTCTGCACACGGACGCGAGCCAGTCGATCGGCAAGATCCACGTCGACGTCGATGCGCTCCACGTCGACTTTCTCACGGTCGCGGGCCACAAGCTGTATGCGCCCAAGGGCATCGGGGCGCTGTACATTCGACCTGGCACGCGGCGACTCGAGACGCTCATGCACGGCGCGGGCCACGAGAACGGGCTCCGCGCAGGCACAGAGAACATTCCGTATGCAGTCGCCTTGGGCACCGCATGTGCTTTGGCGCGAGACTATCTGCAGGCGCACCCGCGCGCGCTCTGGACGCTGCGCTCTGCGCTGTACACGCAGCTCCACGACAAGCTACGAGATGTCGACATGGCGGTCAACGGCCCCAGTACCGGTACGACACCGAGATGATTATTGCTCGCGAAAGATAAAGGCCACCGACGGACTCGCTCGCTGTGGCATAGAGCACGATGTACTGCCCAACACGCTCAGCATTGGCTTTGCCAACGTCCAAGCGAGCGCGCTCTTGCACGCCATCGAAGACCGCGTCGCCGCGAGCGCGGGCTCGGCCTGCCACAGCCACGCGACCAGCATCTCGGCCGTGCTCCGCGCCATGCACGTGCCAGCGACGTACGCGATGGGCACGCTGCGGCTCTCGGTCGGCCGCGAGACGACGCTCGACGAGATCAACACCGCGTCGACAATCATTGCCGATGGCGTGCGCCAGCAGCTGCAAAAGAAGCGCCGCGTCGCGTAGCAAGCACGTCAATAGAGAAGGGACGGTTCCTACCCATGCTTGCTGCTACCTTATAGTCTTGTCGTCGTCGTCGTCGTCTTGTGTGCCTGCGTCGTGAACGCCATGCAAGGATGCGGTCGCGCACCCGTCCGTTCCACGAGGCTCGAGGCCGCGTGCGATCGCGGCGTCAAGCGGCTCTGGCCTCGTGCGCGGCTGGACGACGACTGTCGCCAAAGCAGACGCGGTGACAGTACGTGGCCTCGACCTCTCCATCCAGCTGGCACGGCCTCAATCTCTCCATCCCGCTTGGCCGAGGCAAGCTTCGGGACCAGCGGATCGAATCTGGAGGACGTTCGATTTTTTCGTGTTCGAAAGATTTGGTCCAGGAGGATGACATCACGCTTCGAGACGGCTGACGTCGATGGTGATGCAGATCTTAGTTCATGGATCTTGGGCGCTGACGCTACGCTCCTGCGCTAGACGCGACGTGCAGGAGGCGCTGCGTGCAGACAAGGCATGAAGGTGGAGGAAGAGGTAGTAAGTATTGATAGTATTCACACGCACGAGTTGGTGACGAAGAGGATGAGGACGAGATGGTGCTTAGAAGAGCGCTTGGTCTTCGGTGCGGCCAAAGAAGAGCCAGCTCGTAAACTGGTCCCACGTGCATGGCGGCGGCGCAATGCCCTTGGCGGCCTCGGCCTCGACGGCGGCCGCGACGCGCTCCCGCGTCGACGTCGACGTGCGCGACCGCTTGAGGTCGTACGCCTGCCCCACGAGCGCCATGAGGTCGATGAACGCCTTCGTCGGGTTCCACTGCTGGAGAATGCCCATCTCGCCGGTCGCATAGTCCGAGGGAAACTTGTGGTGGAAGTTGTGCCAGCCTTCGCCGATCGCGCCGATGCTCACGAGGAGGTTCTCGACGGGGCGGATGTTGCGGTCGTACGGCTTGTAGCCAAAGAAGTGGGCCACCGAGTTGACGCACCACGTCATGTGGAGCACCCAGACGTGGCGGACGATGCCACCGATCCAGAACCCGTTCGAGGCCGAGCCGAACGCAAGGTGGCCAAGGACCGCGGGCACGATGTAGCACATGAGCAGCACCGAGAGGAGGTAATGCTTCTTCTGGGCCGCGACGACCACGTCCGCATCAAGATCGTCGTACGTCATCTTCTTGCCTTCCTTGAAGACGTCCGGGTGCTTGCGCACCATGACCCAGCCCATGTGGGCGAAGAAGAAACCGCGCTTCGAGTTGTGCGGGTCAGCGGTCGTGTCCGAGCCCTTGTGGTGCACACGGTGGTCGCGCGCCCACTCGAAAATCGAGCCCTGGAACGCCATCGAGTTGGCGAGCATGAGGAAGACACGCAGCGGAAGACGCGCCTTGTACGCGCGGTGCGCCCAGAGGCGGTGCGCACCGGCAGTGATGCCAAGGCCGGATACAAACCAGAGGCCGCCCCAGAGCGTCGCGATCTCGGCCAAGGACGCCTGCGGCAGCACAAAGAGCAGCGCATAGAGCGCCATGGCGTGCCACACGGCGAGCGTGATGACGTTGTACCAGACGACCTCGGCCCAGGTAAAGGTCGGCGGCTTGCTGCTGGGACCGCTGCTTGCGCTCATCGTCGTCGTGTCGGAGGCAACTTGGCAACTGACGTCGGGCCTGGCGCATGAGCAAGCTGGATTTCATTTTGACCAATGGCCTTGCCGAATGCGTCTGATTGGTTAAAATGATCGGTTTCAAAAACGCGGCTGCGTCGACTATACAAATACCAAGTGTAAGGACCACGCTGCCATACAAATGGGCCCATTACACACGCCGACACAAATTTGGAACTGGTGACCAATGCTTTTTCACGCCTGTGTAAAACGTGTGAAATAAGAGACCAGATCCAAGCAGCGACGCCTCACCTTGGGATGATGCCCAAGCTTACGCAGGGCGTCAGCGTCGAAGCCAAAGGATCAAGATCGAGATCGGTAATAGCACAATGCACGCGTATTCGTTCATCATTTGGTACCGCAGGTGCGACGAGAGTGACGGCTTGAAAACGAGATATATTTGGTGTCAATGAAGCGTCGTGCGATGATGCAAGGCCAGGATCTCTCGTTATTGCTTGGCGTTGAGAGACAGGTATCGTTCGGGTGATCTTGCCCATCGATCGAGGCAAGGCGCAAGCAGGCGCAAGCATCGTGTGTGGAGAGTGCAACGGGATAGAACGAACGCATGTCGTCTCTGACATCGATTCAGCAGGTGCGAGTGAAGTTGCAGCGGGTCCCACTTGAATCTCGAGGTACTTAAGTCCCCTTTGTCCTTCTAGCATTTTGCTGCTGCTTGAAAAGAAGCTTTAGCAGTAGGTCGGGTCTCGATTACACGTACGGTGTCGAACGCTGCGCCTTCCTGCCTATGTTGGTCGAATCTAGCGTAAGCGTCCGAGAAGAGCAGCACATGGCGTCGTGAGATCGCTGATGCTCTTTGGCACGAAACGCCGTTGGTGTAGCAACAGCAGCAGCGATTCAGAGCTCCAAGAGCATGGCATCTCGTCCAGCACCAACGCCAACTAAGCTTAGTAGAGTAGCAGCGTGGAGGGACGCATCTCGGAGGCTGCCACGATCCGACGCAATTTTACACGTGTGAAAAAGGGCGAAAAAGACACGACCGACGCACTGCAACCACCTGATATGGCCCATCGATTCTACGTTGCAGCAATTAAAATACGCAACGTTTCTACAATATATAAGGGTAAGACATACAAACACCAAGGTATGACAATCGCCCACACCATATTATTCTTCCAATCGCGCGCCAACTTTTATTTTATTCCTTGATGGACCACCTGGTAGCCAAGGTGGGGCTGGGATTTCACACGCGACTGCAACGCGTGTACGCACGTGTGATAACGCTGTAGCACACACATAGTTTAATACCGTATTACATGTTCAAGGTTAGGTGTACAGATTGTCCATGTACAAGTAGACGATTTTCTAATTGTGATACCTTAAGTGGTTGGTGGCCGCACCACGTGGCGCGCGAATCGAGTGGGTTGCAGAATAAGACCGACACGTGACGTGGCCAATCGGCGGCTGCATCGCGCGTGCGCTGGCAATGTCCCTTCCAGCGCCTGTCTGTGTGGCCGCGGCTGCTTGTGCATGGACACGTGCTGGCGACACCAAGCAGTATATCGCTGCATGGACCCTACACCAAGTGTACTACCCCACGTCAAGAAGGGACTTTCTTCTTGACCCTCGGCCAAGGGCAAAGGCGGCTGTCCGGTCGAATAGACTGATATCATTTTCACTTGATATGGTAGCTTCAATATACCAATTCAGTGCAACACTAAACAACTCATTCTAGTACCCTCCAACTACCCTCCAACTACACTACATTACTACTACTACTACTACTACTACTACTACCTCAGAACGATGTCTTCGCTAGAGCGGAGAGCCACCGAAACCTAGTGCTCCCAGACCAGCAAAGATATCGGCCAAGCCAGGGCGGTGTTCTATCGGCAAGCGCGGAGCTCGACGTGGTGGCTTGGGCTTCTTCTTGGGCCCGAGTGGCCAAAGCCCGACCTCGCGCAGTCGACTGAGCTTTCGTTCTCGGCGTTGTCTGTACGAGAGGTTGTCGTCGTCGTCCGTGAGCTCCTCGATCGTCTCGGTGATGGATGGCAGCCGCGGCGGTGCTGCAAGGATGGCCGACATGGACATGGCGTCCTCACACGGCCACCGCTCCATGTCGTCGACTGGTGCTTCTTCCGACTCGATCATGATGGGCGTGTCGTCGACGCCGCCGCAGCGTGGAAATTCAAACAGGCGGCCCGAGACCGCGCGGCGCCACTTGTCTAGAGCCCGCGCCGCGTCCATCGTTGCGACCTCGACCGTCACGCTCGCTGCGTTGAGTTCTAGCTGCAATTTTCGGATGACTTCATCCGCTGCAGCCGACTCGTGGAGCGACGCGAGAGCTTGGTGCGCTGAATGCTCGACGGATTCGTCAAGAGATGCTTGTGTGGTGGCCTGCAAAGCGATCGAGGCGTCGAGTTGGTCTCGAAGAGTCGCGACCTGCAGTTCAGATTCGTCCAAAGAGGCCTGCGCTGCTGTAAGCTGGCGCTGGTGCTCGGTACGAAGCGCGTCGATCGCGCGAAGGTGGTCGGCGGCCATGACATCCCGCTCGTGCTGTAGAGCTCGAATCGTGGCCTCGGCTGCCGCTGCTTGGGCGCTGGAGGTGTCAAGTTGTTGCTGCAGTGCTGCTGCGGTGGCAGTTGATGCGTCCAGAGACGCCTGCATCACGTCCAACTGGCGCTGTTGTGTGTCTTCAAGAAGCTCCAGGATGGTAGCAGCGTCAAGCTGCGGCAGCTCAATCGCGGCCTCAAGTGATTCTGGCGCGTTGACATCGGTGTCGAGATGATCGTGTTGCTGTTCGTCAGCAGTCGACTGCGTGGTGGTATTTGCCGTGGGTGCATCGGCGGCGACGTCTATCGGCGTGCAAGTGGCGTGGGAATAGATCATGTACGCCAGCCCAGCACTCAAGGCGACCATCGTAGCGCGTCCAAAGTGAGCCGTCATGTTCGTCGTCGTCGTTGATGCAATAATGGTTTATGAGACGCTGGGATTGCACTGTGTTTACAGTGTAAAGGGTTCCAAACGACCCTTTGTACTCGCGCTTTTGTACTACTTGGCGTGTAAAGGGCAGCTCGCAACCATATATTTCCGCATCGAGTGTCGCTCAGAGACCCAGAGCACACTGGAAGACTTCAGACGCTGATATATATCTTGCTTGTGGCCTTTTTAAAAGTGTCCGATGCACGGATGTGATTAATTCCAGCGTATCGTACCTCGGTTTTGTCTGTGAAAGATTGTTCAAGCGATCGCATGCAGTGTATTGAAACAGAGTTTTCGCGACGCTCTCGCATCAACGCGTCGCTTCCAAAGCAGCAACCGTAGCCCTCGTATCTGTGGTCATATGATCGAGTGAGCGTCCATCGGCGACGACGTGCTGCTTGCAGTGGGGCAACGATACCTCGTCCACACAATCCCAATTGCAGAAATACACTGTACGTAGTACATCCAAGACACTGCACGAACCACTGTATTGCGCGCACAGACGGCAGTGGAGGCTACGGCCCCGCGACAGCGTACGCGGACCGGTCGTCCTCGACATACTTTTTCATGTCTTGGTAGTTGAAGAGGAACGTGAGCGAGTAGCCCACGAGCGTGAGGATGCAGGCGAGCTGGGCGCCCGCGCGCATTTGATGGACGGACGTACACTCGGGCGTGCCTACACCCCATCTAGCACCTTGGATCAAATTGTCGGAGTACGTACTGTAGTCCCATAGCTTGGTGGACGTGCTGTTGAGCATCATCGTGGACGTGCAATAGTCGGCACCGAGCTTGAGGTCCAAGCACTAGTACAAAATATACATCGTTCACGGCGATCCAACAACAGAAGAGAGTTGTACCTTTGCAATCGTCAGGTGCTCAAACTCGCAGGACAGTGCGAGGCCGACGGGAAGGTACACGATAAATGCAGCCAAGAAGAGCGCTGCGACCGTGCGCTGGGCCACCCTAGAAGACGACATCACCATTTTTCGTTTTGTTGGAAAACATGTCGTCCCGTACCAGGCTTGGCGCCGCACGCGGGCGACCGCTTGGCGGTCGAGGCCGTCTATCGTGTAGCGCTCGTCTTCATTGCGCTGCTGGTAGATGCGGTACGTGAGCACCGTCTATATACACGATGATGCGACGTCGTCATCGCTTTTGAAGTACGTTGCAGAGCACGGCGAGGGCTTCGAGGCAGAAGAACGCATACGCCGATGCATTGTGCACGCTGGGGAACCGCGCGGTATCACAAATGCTCTAGTATCAATGTACGACAGGCAAAATGCACTCGCAGGACGCACCAGAATCGGCAGCGCGAACGCCGAGAGCATACCGCAGACAGCGACGAAGGCGCGGAGGCACTTGTGGCAGCCCGAGGCGGACGACGCCATTGCAGACGACTGGTAGCAGTAGTTGAAGAACCTAGCCATGCTCTGGCATACGCAACGTGGCGGCCATCATGATATTGTACCACACGAAGAGGAGGCTCGCGGCCGTGAGGCAGAGACCGACGACAAAGACATAGTAGGCGGGCGGATCGCGGCCCATGTCGGAGAGGAACGGCCATGCGAGGCCGCCGACGTAGATGCCTTGGGACTTGGCGATGGCCACGCACGTGATGAGGGTGACGACGACGGCGGTCGTCGCGACGACGGAGCAGGCGCTGCGGGCGCGGTTCATCGCTTTTTAAAACAACCCCGAGCAAATCTTTTGAAGATGAGCCAATCAACGTCGTCGGGTGCGCAAGTACGAGCCAATCCGGTGCGACCAGCAGCTGGAGTCAGGACGGTTTCGACGCGGGCACAGTATGGTATACAAAAACCAATATATTCGAGAGCTTCCAACGCCTTGTGCTCACTGCTTGGTGCTGAGCTCATTTGCTGGCCATACGAGGCGTCGTATAAATTCTACATGCTTGTACTGGTAGTGTGTAGTGCTGTAGTAGAAAGTTAGTGTATGTATTTTGTGATCCGCGTCGAAAACGTGGCTTTTCATGGGCTGCTACTCGAGAGCTGCCTGGCTGGCAGCGCCGAGCGGTTTCTGATTGGATATAGGATATTGTACATGTACTTGCTAGCATGTTGCGCCAACGTCTGACGCAAAGCGAGGATGTCGCTAACGTGATCGAGGTATAATGGACCACGATCTCTACCCTTGCATTTCGTGGAGGCCTCGCTGATGCTGCACCACCGAAGGGCTGCGTGGTAGTACACAACACCCCCACCGCAACACCCCTCATTTTGCACCCGCTCAATTGTGCTTTCAGGTGTGCGACTGCGGCTGGACTTGCTCCAAAGGACCCCTTGTTAATAATACAACACCATCTTCATACCGCATTCGGTTAAAATATGTCGTCGCACGTTGCATCTCGATTCTTTTAGATGGCATGGTGACTCTTCTCCTGTGAAACCGAATAAATATTTGTTTTTACAGGAAGTTGCCCACGCATCGCGCCAGGGGAGTCGCCAAACCGAGCCCGAAACACGTTTCGCTCCAATTTGGCATGTCGATAGAGGACACTTTAAGGTCCCAACGCGCTATGCCATTCGATCGATCGAGGCTTATGGGCCGAGATATTCAAACGAAAAGACGGCTACTTAAATGTAACCCATGACCATGGACGAGCTTGGTGGTCGATTCCTTTCAAACTCTGCCGAAGGATTCATGCCAAAAGAAATCTTCTCGACGACATACGTATGGTGCTTGCAATCCAATCTGTCGATCATTTCTTGTTGTGGATGGGATGTATGCACACAGACATCAAGTTCAATTTGTGAGCGAGCGATCAAGCTCACGTCCCCTGAAATACATGGACCAGATTCGCATATACCTGTTCGAATACCTGCAGCAGGACGAGGGTGCGCTTTCCAATTTGCTAAATAACGTTAAGATGAAAAGATATAGGTTCTAATAAATTTAGGGGTGTAAAAGGTATGCTTCTTTGAGTGTATCGCCTTCGTCGTTTTAGCAGCAGTCGGTGGACGATGTGGCGTGCGTCGGTGCCGTGAGATCGAGCCCGGACAGGGTGCGGCCGCGGCTCTCGAGAGAAAGCGACTGCGTCCGGTGCACGGTCGTGAGCAAATCACGGAACGCGCGCTCGACGTTCGCGCCGGTTTTCGCCGACGTCTCAATGTAGTTCATGTGATGGGCGGTCGCGAATTTCTGCGCCTCGGCCGTCGACACCAGGCGCTTGCTTGGCTCGACATCCGCCTTGTTGCCGACCAGGACGGCGGCGAGGCCGGGCTCAGCAACCTACCACCTTGTGTAAGATGACAAATATTAAAATAGCGCGATGCCTGGAGGAGCTGGTCCAGCCAGCGCTGGACGCCTTCAAACGAGACGAGGTCGCTGACGTCGAATACGAGGAGAGCTCCGACAGCCTTGCGGTAATACGTGCCCATCATGGCATGAAAGCGCTCCTGGCCTACAAAAGATCGCGCGTGAGTAGACTCGAACCGGCGACGAGGACGCACCGGCCGTGTCCCAGATCTGCGCCTTGACATTCACGCCGTCAATCTCCATCACATGCGTGAGGAACTCGACGCCAATCGTGGACGCAAAGTCGGTGCTGAACTCGCCCTTGTTGAGGCGGCTGAGTAGGTTGGTCTTGCCGACACCCGAGTTGCCCAGTAGAATCACTAGATGGAAATCCGTCTCCACCGGACAGTTGATAGTTTGATAGTACACCTTTGTTGACGGACGGTTTGGCCGGGACGGCAGCGACTGGCGCGACTAGCGACGCGGCGCGACGCGGCACCTCGCGGCACGGCGGGTTGGCGACAAAGTTGGTGCCGTAGCTACAAAGAATAAGTGAGATCATGTCGAGGCCGACTGCCGTACTTTTTGTCGAGCTCGACGTAGAGCCAATGCATGCGCCCGTCTTGATAGTACGTGACGAGCGCGTCGACGTCCTTGAGCTTCTCGGGCAGATTCCGCTCCGTGTAAAATTTGGTCAAAAATTCCTTGGGCGTCGGTGGCACGTCTGGCAAGAGGTTGATCTTGGACACAAACTTGGTGATGCTTGATGTCACGTCGTCCAACGTGAGCGACGGACGGGTTTGAAGTGGCGGCGTTGCCTCGATGGCCGTGTACGGCGGGGTCGGCGTCGTCGTTGCCGGCGTGACGATGTCGAGGGGCGCGTGGGTCGGAGACGGTGTGGCCATCGAAGCGCGAAATCAAAACTTGCCCTCTCCAGCGCATGGCTTGTCTATTTCGGGTGGCCATGGATGGATGGATCCATCGTACCGGGCAACATGGCGCCTCTGGGATGGAAATGACGCACGCGGATTGGCTGCGTTTGAAAACCGACGTGGCGACATCCAATCAAATGCGAAGGTTTGACGCGCCACGAGCGGCGACAACGATGTTATGGATCCTGCTCGTTTCGAGTATAGTAAATACCACGCGGACGATAGCGCCCTTGCATCGGCGGAAGCATGAGCTGGGCCTCTATGTGCAGGGTTGACGTTCTCTAATCGTTCGGGTGGACTAGTACAAGTAGTTCGTCATGAATAGCCATCCGATTCTCGTGTAGCGGTTTGGACACTGGTTTAGGAACCGAGGGATTCCTCTGTTTGACACTACGTGGACAGCTCGCTACTGCGCGGCTCCCTGTAGTGACAATGGTCCATGAGGTCAACGCTGGAAGGCATGCCCCAGTGATGCCAACATGACGGTGTACAGGTCCTTTCATGAGCGACCAGCCGAGCACTCCTCGGGTAATATCCCGGCGTTGCACTCTAGCGAAATCAACCTGAATAAAAGCGTCCACGGATGGGCGGCTCTTGTGAGTGCCAACGAGTGCTTGAAGCCGCCAGTGTCCACGACAAGGTCGTCGTCGGCCCTTGTCGTCCGCAACAGCCACAGCAAACACACATCCGCACAGAGTATATTCGCAGAACGTGCTTTCGCGTGACTCGCATCGTTAATCATTACAGAGAGTTGGCCGCTTCAATAAATGGTTCGCATGGTGGACGTTGAAGCTGCAGAGACGAGGTTGCGCATCTGTGGACACTAATTGAGAGGCTGCGATGACCATACAAAGGCTACAAGCTATTAGCATGCCTCATTTGATACTAAAACAATCGATCGACTTGGCGACTTCAGAGTGTCGACTTGCACCGAGCGATCGTGGTAGGCAAAGGTCCAGTACAAGGAACCCTTGTCCAGCCGACAAGGGATGTGTCACGTCCAGGAGCCATGCAACGCACCAATCCGCGCGCATGCGAATCTGATTTTGCACCAATGGAAAAATCCGACGCTTTTCGACCAATCCGTGTGGGGCGCTCGGCGCTTGCAAATCTTTCCGCCACTGACGTTTCGTCAACCCGATCGAGCCATGGCCGCGGTCCTCTTCCAGATCCACGCTGCGGCGCCGCTCACCGCCGACGACCGCTACGTCGCCGTCGTTGGCAACGTCTCTGGTACGGGCCGCTGATCTCGTCGCCCACGCAGCCTCTCATCCGCATGCCTAGAGCTCGGCGCATGGGACGTCGCCAAGGCCGGTACCCCGACGCCGCCATGCACCCGCCGCCAGCGCTCATCCTTCCTATAGTTCCGCTCAAGAAGCATGTCGGCACGTCGACGCTCTGGGAGGCAACGCTCGAGGTGGCCATGTACGCGCTTATCGAGTACAAGTACATTGTGCTGGACCGCGCGGGCGGGCTCGTGCTTTGGGAGTCGCTGCCCGGCAACCGCACGCGGGTTGCCGGCGGGACCAACGTGGCGCTGTACGAAGCATCTCTGTGTCTACTGCCATGGTCCTATGCGGCGCGCGTAGGCACAAGCCGGTCACGCAAAGCTCAATCTTTGTCGCGCCCGCGGGACCCGGTACGTTATTGTCGCATCTGGCCTCGACGTGGTAATGACAGCCAATGCGGCGACTAGTGCCTGGGCCACGCGTGCCCGAGCTGGCCGTGAATGGCAACACGAGCGGCCATTTCGAGCACATGTGCTGTCGTACGAACGTGCAAGACCAGCCGTACTGGCAAGTCGACCTGCTCGCGGTAGGCTCGCCTTGGTCGGCGCACGAACGAAAATTTTGCTTGCGTAGAGCACACCGCTGGCGAAGCTCGTCCTCTGGAACCGCCAGGACATGTTCTTGGACCGCCTCGTGCCGGTGTGGCTGCTGCTATCCAACACGCCATTCGGCGACGTCTCGTTGGAGGCCGCGAAGAAGCAGGCGCTGGCCTCGATGCGGTAGACATATCGATATATTCTTTTTGTTGTTCAATTTGTCACATGGGACTAGGTTTGCCTCGGCGGCGACGCAGTTTGAATGGCCGGTGACGACGACGGCGCGCTATGTTCGCGTGCAGCACGAAGCCGCGCACACGAGCTTGCAGTTTGCGCAGCTCCAAGCGTTTACGCCGACGCACTTGGCGCCGCCGGTACGTTCCCTTACGGTCCGTGCGTCGCTGGAATCGTCGTTTTAGGTCCTCGATGGCTGGTTTGGTCTTGACAATCGCGCGCTCGGCGATGGCCAGTCCCACATTGACGTTTGCATCTCCATTTGGGTACCCATCTTAAGCAATGGCGGTGTGTAGGGGCAATGGCTCGCACCGGGGGCGACGCCCGAGCTCCGCCTCATCTTTGGAAGGTGCGTTGTCTGCCTTGTCACTGTATTTTCCTGTATTTTCCTGTCTTTTCCTGTATTTTTTTGTCTTTTCTGTCTTTGACAGCATTTGTCCGTGTCGGTTCGGCCAGGTCCTAATGACGTGCTAGCTTTGATAAGAAGCCGTCCGTGACCTTTACGGACAAGGTGCAGCGATCCATCTACCTCCAAGCACGTGTGCTCGGGCATCCGTCGACATCGATCGTCCACGCCCCGTACTCGGCGGATTTGCGTGCTATCGATGTTGCGATGCCGACGCCGCACTTGGATCGAGAGCTCCTTGGCAATGCGCTGCCGCTGCCGACCTCGCTGTCCCGAGGTCTCGACCACGTGTCGCTGCTCACGACGTTGCCACCCCACGTGCGTCACGAGCTCACGGCCAAGCTCGAGCGCATCTCGTTTGTGGACGCGCAGCCCATTCTTTCGATCGGCCAAGACCGCCACCACCTGCTCCTTGTCGACGCAGGTGTCGTTGCCGTCACAGGCCCGACGACGACGCAGGGCACGGCGACCTTTCTCGAGCTCGGGCCGGGCGCGTACTTTGGCGAACTGGTTGGACTTTGCCGTGGCCGGCGTGGCATGGGCTCATCGAAATACGTATGTAGGCCCTTGTCAGCGGCGCCAACCGCAGCGCGCAGGTCGTTGCGAAGGGCGCGGTGACGCTCTCGCGTCTGCATCGCGACGACTTTGCAGCTGTCTTGGCTGCGCATGGCCTCGACGCGACGTCGCTGCTTGCAGCGCACGCAGACGGTATCGCGGCTTCGCTGCCGCTCTTGACGACGACACCCTCGCCCAAGACACCGTTCGTGGCCCAAGACACACTTCAGGTAGACGACGGTTGCAAGGGACTCGGAGGATCGACGTATGATGATGCTAGGTGTTTCGCCTCGGGCATCTGCCGCCGTCGGCGTCGGTGGCGATTGAGGTGGTCGATGTCGCCACCGAGACCGTGCTTGGCACGAGTGTGCTCGTGGCGTCCCAGCTCCATCGCACCAACGGCGCGGTCTCGACACCGCTGCTCTCGCCGTCGTTTGCTGGTATGCACCGCCCCTTTTCCAAATGGACACGATGGCATTCTGATGTACGACCCTTTCTCTCCCGGTAGTGGTCGGCGAATTGCTGTTGCGGTACCTGCATATTCGGCCGTTTGTGCACAAGGACAACACGCTCGCATCGGCGTTCCGCACCCAGTGGCTTCATGGCCCTGCGCTCGACATGGGCCACCGCGGTCTTGGTCGATCCTACTACCAGGTTGGACGCAGCTTTTCGATGTTTCTGATTTTTTTTGATTTCTTGCATTTTTGAGATTTAGATATTTGGAGAGTTTGAATGATTGATTATGGTCGACTAGGCGTTCGGGTACCGTACGTCGCACATCCGCGAGAACACGCTCGCGTCCTTCGTCGTCGCCGGCCTCCATGGCGCCGACTGGATCGAATTTGACGTGCAATTGTCTAAAGACCGTATCCCGGTCGTGTACCATGATTTCTTCTTCAAGGCCGCGCTTGAAGACCGTCGCGGACGGTCGCCGGCGGCGTTCACCAAGACGGGGCTCCACGACTTGACGCTTGCGCAGCTCAACAACGTCCAGTGGCGCCACGGCAAGTCGGTCACGGACGGCCCGCGCCTGCAGCACCTCGTGCGCAAGCACTGGCTCAAGCTCGTGCAGCCCAAGGCAAAAAAGCCGAGTCCCCCGACGACGACGACGACGACGACCTTGCCAACGAGCGACGTCGACTGGGCAGCGCTCTCGGAGCGGTTTCCAACGCTGGAAAACTTGCTCACGCACGTCCCCCCCTACGTGGGCCTCAACGTCGAAATCAAGTACCCGGTGGACCCGCCGGATGCCGCCAGTCTCCGGAGCCTCGACGCGTTCGAGATGAACGCGTACTTGGATGCGATCCTTGCGTGCATTTTCGAGCACGCGAACGGCCGGCGCAACATTGTCTTTTCGTGCTTTGAGCCGGACGTGTGCGTCATGCTGCGGGCCAAGCAGACGCGGTACCCGGTCTTCTTTCTCACGTGCGGCACCGACGTACGTCCCCTCAAGTCGATTCTACGCGAGGCTGATGCGTGCACGGATAGATCACCGGTCAAGTGCCGGATGTCCGAACCGTCTCGCTCGAGACCGCGGTGCCGTTTAGCCGCATGGAGCAGCTCCAAGGGATTGTGACCAACTCGCTGCCGCTGTTTACGAAACCCAAGTGGATCCGCCACATCCGCAACGACCAGCTGCACCTCTGGACGTGGGGCAACCACAACACGGGCCATGACAAGGTGCAGTTTCAAAAAATGCATGGCGTCTCGGGCGTCATCTCGGACAACGTCGGCGACCTCACCAAAGTCGACAAGAAGCTCCGCCCGCGCGATGCCGGCGCCAGCATGAGCTAAGTGCGGTCGCTCCTTTGCATTGCAGCAAGAAACATCATTTCGTGTGTCCTCGTCTGGTTTGCTGGTACTGCCGTTTAGGATAGATCCGATGGCCTGGATAGATCCAACGCGATGATCGCGACCTCGCCTTGCGCATCATTGGTGACTGGTTGCGTCCCGTGGCACAAGCCACGTGGGTCCAAGAGGCCACTTGGTGAACTGTGACAACGGCGGCCGCCGACAAGGTCCCAACAACGTCCGCTGCTCGCGCGTCGGCTGCATGGCCGGTCTACAAATCCTGTGCAACTTGTCTCTCCTTCCACTGGAATGGATTGGAATTGGTTCTCGCCACCGCTAGCATTGTGGTGGTCCGTTCTTGTCTCCTGGCGCCCGCACTCGAGATCTCCAAAAGACGGGAGAATCTGGGCAGGGTGCAGCAAGAGACAGCCGTAGTACGACCTTGGGAAGCTTGGATAGGATCGTGCGCTTACACCAGCTAGCAACACCGCATCGTCTCGTCGAACCGTCCCACAACATTACCTAGTCCCGAGGACGTAAATCTTGTATCGGTACGCCAACGCGCCGAGTGTTTCAAAAACCATCGCCCATGCGGTATGATATACTATCAACGTATCAACGTATCAAGCAAAAGCTACTCGTCTTTCTTGAACATCTTTTTGAACATGCCGCCAATCTTGGACTTGCGCTGCTTCTCGTCGTCGTAGTACATGGAGCTTGCGCTCGACTGGCGCATCTTGGCCTGCGGGTGGGCCCAGTTGGTCGCCGCCGTCGTCGCCGTCGAGCCTTCGCCGATCGAATACGCGTCCGAGTGCCGGTCGTCCATCTCCAACTCGTGCCTACAGTCCGACATCGTTGCCACGTCGGTGTCTTAGAGGAACTTGGTACGTCGTTGTCATGGGTGGCGCGCTGCCGTCGAAGCAAGCGCGGACTTTGGCAAGGACATCGGGCGATACGCGGGCGTCTCGAAGCACGTGGAGCACATGCTACATGAGATAGAACCTCAATCCTTCTGAAACAAGACTCCAAGGACGTGTACATCTTGCGTGCTCTCGTCGTGGAGCGTCGAAGCTTTTGAGAGCCGGACCTCTTCCTTGAGGTCGTGGACTTGCTTGATGTACTTCTTCATCTTCTCTTCTTGGCTCTTGATGAGCGCTGCGTGCGTGCTCATGAGTCGCAGATTCGCTTTCGATTGCTGCTTGTTGTGCTGGTTAAGCGCTGCAAATGACGCGCCAGCCGCCGTGTACGCTTCCTTGATGCGCTTGTTTTCCGAGCGAAGCCCCTCGAGCTCATGGGACGCCGACGCGTGGAGGTCACGCCACTTGGTCACTTGCATTTGCAGCGTCGCGAGCATGCGGCCCGAGTCGTCCTACGCAAATCGCATCAGGCATACCATTCGCGAAACAAATCCGCAAAATTTGAAAAAACACGAAAACAAAACGAAAAATCAAAATCACACAAAAGAGGCCAGTGTACCAAAAGCGAGAGGTCGTCGGCGCTGCCACGTGCGAGCGACGACGGTCGTTGCTCGTCTTGGAGCTGCTGCTGGAGCGTCGAGTTGGCCGCTTCCATTTGCGCTCGCATGGCCTTTTCTTCGTCCAAGCGCAGTTGCAGCACGTGCAGTTCGTGCTCGATGCTCTGCTGCTTCGCGAGCTCGTCCGCCTCGAGCTTGCGCTTAGCATCCAGCGCGCGTTGTTTGATTTGGCCTTGGATCGCGAGAACGGCCGCGCGGAGACGCAGGTACGCTTTCTGGGCCTTGTACGTTCGCCAGTTGCGCTGCAAGACGACCGCGCTCGTGTACAGCTTGTGCTGACGGAGCGCGGACCGTGCGTGGCGCCCACG